CCTCCTCCTCCTCCTCTTCCTCCACCTGGGCTCCAGAAGTCTCCATCTCCATCGGCTCGGCGGCGGCGGCAGCCTCAGCCCCCGCACCGCCGCCAAGCTTTGCGGCCACGGCTCTCGGCGGAGGCGATGCTGCTGTCGTCGTCCGGCTAGTCGTTACGGCGGTAGTGGCGGTGGGGAGAGCCGACGCCGCTCCGGGAGAGGCTCCAGTACCGTCGGCGGCGGCAGCAGGAGACGAGGGACAAGGGGAAGAAGGTGGAACGCCGTCGACGACGGCGGCGGCGGCGGCGGCGGCGGTAGCCATCTCGGCCCCAACTTCGTCCGCAGGGGTCGGGCCTTCGTCGCCGCCGCCGCTTACCGTAGCGTCAGAAACCACATCATCTAGCACGTCTTCTTCGACTCCTCCTGCCGCTGCCCCGGCGTTCGTCAGAGACGCAGGCGACGACGTGGTCTCAAGGTCGCTCGACGGGCCCCCTCCTAGCGAAGAACCACCCGGCGCCCGTTCTGCTGGAGCCCCGGTTGCGGCGACTCTGCTGTCGTCACCAGTCGGCCGCGGGTCGTCCCGTTCCTCCTCGTCGTCCATGGCATCATCGGCGCTGTCCTCGGCCGGTGCTCCTGCTCGCGCGTCTCCGCCGGCTTTCGAGCCCGAGCCCGCTCCCGTAGCAGCCGCGGCCGCCGCCGACGGTGATGATGAATGATGATGCAGCGTCAGCCACAGCACCAGACACCGACTCTCCGTCCGCATCACCTGTTGCTACTGCTGCCGCCGCCACCGCCGCCGGGTGTTCCTCCTCTCGTGAAAACGCCGGCGCTGGTTCTGATTTGGGCGGCATTGAGCCCCGCCCCGCAGATGACGCGGGGGATGTTGTTGTTGTTGTTGTTGCCGTCGCCGCCGCCTTGAGCCGCACCGCTGCCGACCCGGCCTTCTCCGCGTAAGGGATATTGGGCGTAGCGGCACCGAGAGACTTTGTCTTGCCCTCTACGGCAAGCCTGTGGATTCGGAAAAAAAGCAAAAACGATTTTTTTCCGAGGGAGGAAAAGGAAGGGCCAGCAGCGGACGACGGAGAACGAGGGAGGAAGAGGAGTACGACGAATCAGTCGAGTGTCGGACGACCAAAAAAGAAGGGGAAAGCGGCACTCATTCGCTGCTGCTATGTTTTAAGCAAATAGAGCCTGCTGCCTAGCACACGCCCGCTGCTACTGAACATTATCCGTCCCCACAGCCGCAGAGCGATACAACGGCGGACGAGCAACACGCCTGGTCGCTCGTTCTTGTAGCGCAAAATTGCTTGCAAGACCCGCCATGCCCTGCTGCACAGCAAAACGGCCCTGCTGAGACGGCACATAAAAACGAACCAAAGGAGACGTCACCCTCCCCCATCAACAAGACCTTCATTCAGAGAGAACAAAGCCGAAATTTCTCTCTCTCTCTCCCTCCCTCCCCCCCGGCTTTC